TTTGGATTCTCATCATCTTGCTCCATATCATACTTATCATAGACAAGAAACTTGTCATAAACCGGAGCATCAACCATTGGATTCTCATCATCGTACTCTCCGTCGGATTCCTTATAGATATAGACCTCGTCATAGAGTGGAGCCTCAACAAATGGATATTCATTGTTCTGTTCTTTATTTGATTCATAATAATTAGAGACCTTAGCATAGACTGTAGCTTCAATAAGCATCATAATATGCTGATTTGGACAATCCGTAGCAAAATGCCCAATCCCCCCACACTTGTAGCACATCTTGGCTATGGATCTTCCTATAGTATATTTGCTACAACTCCGTCCTTTCTTAAAACAAGTTTGGAAATCACTTCCTTTAATTCCACTGGTGTCGGAGTCGGATTAACAATCATTACTGACTTAGAAAACTGACTCTAAAATTTGAGATATTCTCCTTTCTTTTACATTGTCCTTCTACCTTTAAAGCCAATCTACAATATCATTATAACCCTAATATTGATACAACTGAACAACATCAGAAATCTCAATTCATAACTATCTCAAATATCGAGAAATCATTTGTTCATCTTCTTTAGCCACATCACAACACATCCTCGGGAAGTCAAACTCACTGGTATATTGTTCGGCCATTAAATCAACATGCTTTAGGTGTGATATTCGATAAATGCTTCCTCCTTTTAACAATTAGGAAGAAACATCTTTCATAGCAACTTTTTCATCTTGTCCCAACTTTTGATCTTCGACTTCCATTCTCTAGTTCACTGCTTCTTAACGTGTTCTCACCAAATAGAGGTGTGCTTCTTCAGTTTGATAGCAACCAATTTGATATTTTGGTCTTCTGTTAAGTCTTTGATGTCAAAGACCTTTTGGACGGTATGAAACCAGTCGTGAACTCATTTGGATAAGTGCCCTCCCCCCCTCAAATTCCAGGATCCCAATCTTCATCCCAATATTTAAAAAAAGATTGATTGACAAACTGACTATGTCTTTTTCGCTCATGGATCCAGAATGGAATTTTGTTACTGATCTTTTAGACTTCCTTCTTTCATTTGACTCGTTCAACTATTTTAAGGCAAGCAGTTGTTCGAGCTCTTGAATTCGTCTATCTTTTTTTGTCATTGCATCGTCCCACACGTCGAATTGTGGTTGTTCGTCATCGCTATTGAGGGTGTTACCATGTCCTCTACCGTTGCCGCCTCGACCTCACTGTCCATGACCTTGACCTCACCCACTGTTGTTATGTTCATCCATTTATATGACAACCAGAGCTCTGATTACCAAATAATGTTGAAGTAGTAACACATTGGCTAAACATAAAGGAAGAACAGACACAAGAATTACGAAAAATACTATTTCTCTTTTTTGAATTTTTTTAACCAAAAACAATCAAATAACAATAGGGTTCTCCAAACCTTAAATAGAAAAACAAAATAAAATAAAAATAAAATCAAACATAATGAAAAGGAATCATGCATAATCAAAGGAAAATCAAAGAAATAACGGAAATATAAAATAACAGACAATCACTAAAGTTCCCTAAACTATGGAATAAGCCTAAAAAGCCCAAAATGACACATGCACTCATGCATGAATATTTCTAAGCCATTAAGTGCATCAATTTATATATACCTTAAAATTAATATATGTAAAACACGCAGTGATGAAGAAAATATATAATAAAATGTAGTGTTCTCCATTCAAATTTTTTTGCAAGTAATATTTATAGATAATATATGTTTGATACGAAATGAGTAGACTGATGGTTAAGGTTCACTTTGATATGGGTGGACTGATTTGTTGCTTGTGGTTGCTCCTCTATATGTTGTGAGGAACAAAAAGATTGACCTACACAAACTTCGATATTTGTGTTAATATAGGTGGCAAAGTGGGAAGCATGCCCTGCCCCGCATTAACCTTCTTACAAACGAGTCAGCCTGCCTCACCCGCTTTTGATAGGAGGTTGAGAAACTCAGTTCGCCCTATCCCGCCCCGCCAACCCGCCTATGTGTTGAGATTTTCTTGATAGATTTAAAAAATTATTATTATTTGTACAAACTTACTTCTACCAAATATCAGGAATATTAGTCATAGTAAAATACCATTGTTGACAACATTGTTCACTTGAAAATCCACAATAGCTGCACTTTATGGCTACATTTTTTTTCAATGATTTCATGAATAAATATGATAATTCTAATAAATAAAAGATTTGACAGCTGATTTGGCAAAAAAACAAACAAAAAAGATTAACTCGTGAGGTAAAGTTAGGTTAGGTTACGTGTAAAGTAAAAAAAAAAAGGGGTTGGCGGGCTAACATGGGCGAACTTAGCGGGCTGCCGGCCGTCCCGTCCGCTTGTATTCATATAGATAATTATGGAGAATACTCTATAGCACATGTAATTGAGCACATGATTACTACATGCGAAGGTAATGTGAATCACAGGAAACAAGTACATGGTTAGACAAATAGTGGAAGGTTTCGTCTATTATGAGAGAATTAAAGAAATATTATGATACAACTGTTTCATCCTATGGTGGGTGTGAGCCGTGTAAAGGGCCTAAACCACCAATTTAGAACATTATGTAAAATAAATATATAATATGAATTGTTCAAGAATATATATAATAAGGCTTAGATTTTTATATTATCGCTTATAAATGAATATATAAATGGGGTAAACATTTTTATAACCACTATAGATAAGGCTATCTACAACTACTGTTTATAACTATGTACTATCGGTAGTACATAATTATAGTCACTTTTCAGAACTTGTTTGCTAACGTGGAGAGAAAAAAAAGCAACTTTAATGTTATAACTATGTACTATCCGTAATATATAATTATATAGGGTAGCTGTAGATAATCTTATCTAAAATGGCTGTAGAAATATTTTTTTCTTTATAAATATAAATATGAAAGTACTATGTATAAGTATGAATGGTTAAGCTTGGTGATTCTATCCATGCAAAATATTGAAGCAGCTAGCTTCATCAAATAATTGTTGGAAAAAATAACACTAATTTTTCTTTCCCGGAACCTTTTATGAATGATTTAACACAAGATAAATTGATTTGCCAATAATAATTGTATAAGAATCAAACTCAAAGCAACACAAAATAAATTTAATGTGAAAAATTCCCTCAATGTAAGTATTATTAACTACGGGACTGATTTTGGAGTCCACCCAATTATTACTATAAACTAAAGTGAGATTACAAATTGTCCCAAATAGCAACAATGAATACATGTACAACTCAAACACAAGTTGTATCAACGAAGTAAGAGATAGTTACAAAAACAAGGTTCCGTTTGAAATTCTTTTCTACAACCAAATTACTCCAATAAAAAATCCTTGATCAGATTAGAGACCTATAAAAATGGAAAGCATTAATCAAATTTGACCAAGATTCAACAACTAATCAAAGAGATATTCATATTTGAATCTCACTGCTCAAGATAGAACATGATTACTAATATCCTCTGTTCTCCATTTAACAAAACCCTCATGCATGGAAGCTCTAATTCAAAATCTGAATATGGTCAAACTATAGAAAATCAATGAGATAATTTCTATCAAAATTCGAGTTTGGTCCAACCGTGCATTTGAGAAATATTTATCCCCCATTGCTGTTGCTTGCTACAAAATTATACGAAAAAAGGGGTCTAATATCGGAATTTTTTCTCTCACTTAAAATCTCCAATCAAAGAATCAACCTTTTAGAATTAAGGTCAATAAGTCTTAAACATGCTTCTCCTTTTGAGATATCAAAGAAGGATGAAAACTGCTTCTCCTCTTGCATTTTTTCTACTCTGCTTTCACTCCATTTTAGCAACATGGCTTCTCTCACTCTATACACGAGGGAACCCTAGTATTCCTCATCGGGCTGGACGTACTCTTCAGGCGTATTAAGTGAATAAAGGCGCAACAAGACTATCAAAACAGGCAAAAATTTGACACAAAGATTTATACTTGATTGTGCATTTGACTTGTCTCAATAAATGAGGATAATATAGATATGAACTTGTATGCAAGTTGGAGTCAATAATCAAACTGGTATTGAGATCAATTTTTTTTTTAAATCATTAAATCTATTATTTAATCCCTATGATATGTAAACTTTTAGCATAGTTTGTATAATTTGTGGATTCTCGTCAAGCTGTGGGAGCATAAAGTTGTCTCCACATCCCATCAGATAAACCTTCATAAAAAGTGCTTGTGAATAAAAACAGAATTCCGGTGTCGCTAATGGATGGAACTGTATAGCGTCGGAAAATCTATGATTCTGCTCGCAATGGAATACGTACGAAATAAGATTTTTCGTACGTACATATTGATGAGAAAGATTTGAACCCAATTCACATATTTATTAGATATGATATATAAAATTATTCATGTATTTTTATGTAATTAATAATTTAAATTTTCAATATAATTGCTTTATGATGTCAAATTTTTATGGTCTAGAGTTCAGTACGTATTTGTTATCTTATTTTTTAAAATAAAAATTAAATTTTAGTACAAAATTGAATAAAAATTCATGTATAGTCCACACACTTTAAACCTAAATAACATTATAAGATAGATGAAGATGACCTTTAAATAAACTTAAAAGACTCCTCTTTGATGAAATGTATTAAAGATGTAATATAAAATTATTTATATATCTTTCATTCAAAAGTTTAAACTTACATGTCTAGGAATAGTTTGCTCCAGTTTCATGGCAAAACATAGACATAGTCGAAGAATCGAATTTATACACTTCTGTTTCGAAAGGGAACCTTCCGGGAAACAAATCTTGGTCAATGTACGTTCCTAGATTGAGATAGAGAAAGAATAATATTTTCCTTAGATTTGACACATTTTCACCCAGAGACTATTTATATAAGCATATAGGCAATGACGAAATTAACCGTACAAAATCAGGAGGAAATAAAAGGGTAGGTCAAATATTGAAAAAACCAAGTTTATTAGCAAACACAAGAAGACCATGGAGGACCACCAGAAGGGGAAGCATGGCAAGGAGGAGAAGGCAAGGGAAGAGGTTCGGTACCGCGGCGTCAGGCGGCGGCCGTGGGGGAAGTATGCGTCGGAGATAAGAGATCCATCAAAGCAAGGGACAAGGGTGTGGTTGGGGACATTTGATACTGCTGAAGAAGCAGCTCGAGCTTATGATCGAGCAGCCTTTAACATGAGGGGTCATCTTGCAATTCTCAATTTCCCTAGTGAGTACTATTCTCAAATAAGGGGCTCACCACCATATCCACCTCATTTAGCATCATCATCGTCATCATCATCATCATCATCACCATCATCCTATGGAAGTTCTTCTGGTGCACGACAGAATCATCATGTTATCGAGATCGAGTGTTTGGATGATAAGGTGTTGGAGGATCTTCTTGAGTCAGAGGAGCACAAGAAGAAAAAGAACGGAGATTGAGTACTGAATCATTCCTTTTTTGCTCTTTTCCTTTTCTGTCTCCTTAAGTACTGTTAATAACTGAATCTCTCTTCAGATCTAAAAACAATCAAAATCATCCTTCATTACCAGTGTTTATCGAAGTTCCTGTCTGTGAATGAAAATAATTATAATAAACTCTAGTATTTATGTACATAGTGCCTTTGAGTTCAGCTTGATTTGGGAAATTTGGACTTTTGCCCTATTCTGTGTGCTATCTATTACTCCTAACTACTGTAGAGGATGATAATTATATGGTTTTATCTCTGAAAGCGCATTGCACTAGCATTTTGTACGCTAATGAATTGCATCGGTTATATACTCAGATGAATAAGAATAGAGACACGGGGAAGAAAAAAGTTAATGAACATATATTGAAGGGAATTGTTCTTCTGGATATATCCACTGGTTAAGGGGAACTAGGTAAAGGAAAAAAAGCTTCTTAATTAACACTTGAATCAATGGTGATTCGTCAAAGAAATTGTTATTCTAATATAGACAGACACATTCAAGGAAAATGGAATATGCTTCTCCTTTCAGAAACATCAACTATTAAACTGAATGTACATATTGATTTCTGATTAAAACTAAGCTGTATCATGCAAGGCCCGGTGTTGATTTTTGAAGCTACTGTTTATAGATATAGGTCTTCAATACTTTGATTAACGTTAGATAAATATAATATAAAATTATTGAAGACACGTCACATATTGAACTGTTGAGTGGAAATGGTTGCTTATCATGGTATCAAATAAGTACCGATATAAAAACCATTGATGAGTTTTAACTTACCAGCTTAAATTGTTGGATTCAAATGATTGCTTTAAACAATTAGGCGTTTTTGTTGAAAACAATGAAACAAACTACCATAATTGGGGAAAGTTGTAATTCTGTGTTAAGATCTCTAGCCTTCCCAGCTTCTTTGCTAGGATTCTTATACTTCAGAAATGAGTTCTCATTTAGTTAACGAAGCGAAACCAATTAACATTAAGTGAAGACCTGAACCGTTTCATAATGCCTTTCAGCAACTCTGGCCAAATTCCTTTTTTTTTTGGGATAAATTAAGGTATCTTTCACAGGAAGCACTTCTGTTCGAGCAAAGAGCCGGGAACAACAACATCATGGTGAGATTAGCTCTCCCAAATTCTATGTTCTTTTTACCGGTTCTAAGGTTCAATCGATCATTCTGTTAGATGTAACTCCACTTTAGTCGGTTTTGGCTTTGTCTCCTCAAACCAATTAATAAAGGGTCAGATTATATTTACAAACTCTTACAAACTACACTAAGTATGACCGGTCATACTTTAATCACGCAGTACGACCGATCGTACTTAGTGTAATTTGCAAAAAAAAATTGTAAACGGATCATATCCCATTAATAAATGTAGATTCTCCAGAAAAGAAACGTATCTTCATTAGTGAGTATTGATTTTCCTTGCTAGAAATCTCTCCAAACCTGAAGTGTTAATTGGATTGTTTCTTTATTTCTCCATGAGATACGTGGAAGTTCCAAAATCAAGGTCTGATCATCAAAGTGCTAGACTAAGGTGCAAAAGAAAGGTGCCAAATCCAACCGGAAACAATTTATGAAATGCTGGTTGGGTTCGGTAGTTCATTATCAAATTGATTTCTGTTGAACCTGAATAAACTTAATATCAATCAGTCAGGTATTAGATTTTGTTTTTCTTAAACCCAAATTTTTTTAACTGTTATAATTTTTATTTAAAAATATCTTAATATAAAATAATATTGTTTTGATTATTTAAAAAAAAAAAATTGTATATAAAACTATAGTAAAATTTTCACGATTTTATGCTTTGTTTTTTTAACGTATGACCTTTTTTATGAGTTTAATTAGTTTTATTCTACCTTTAGTTTTTCTTTTTTCCTGAGTGAATGTTCTATGTAAAGTTATTAAATTTGATTCATAAACTATTTAAGAGCATGTAGGCTTGCTTTCTGTTTCGTTGTTTTGAGTGGAGATGATGGTTGATCTATGTAAAAGAAATTTTCCACTTGAGATAGTTGATTTGCATTGGACAAACAATATCAGTTGCTGATATAATGTACCTGAAAGGATAGACCAAACTATATTCAAAGATCTTCCAAGGTTTGGAAAAAATATGGAATATAGTATTTTTTCAAATATACTCTCATATTGCTGTACCAATCATCCCTGATTGAGATCAAAACGAGGAAGGAACATTTTCATTTTCTGCAAATATTCTGGATCTTCTTAAGCATTATACATTTCGGTCACAAAAGATAGAAAGAAAATTCGTAACACATATCATCCATATATATGAAATATGTTCATTTCAGATATAGGATATATGAGATTTAAGATTTCTTGTGGGTAGTGGGTTCAGAACCATATGTTCAATTCATGGATTCGAAAGACAAATTTTCAAAGCATATATTAAATGTTCTTACAGGATCTATCAACTTTTAGTCATTGAAGAAGATGAGATGCCAATATTTAGAATCTTTCAGTTTTTTTTTAAAAAAATAATTATAAATTCCTACTCAAGAATAAAAAGAAATTAGATTTTTGACAATTTTTTAACTCCAAATATTTTTAGAAAGTTGCCACAAAAATCTATTTCAATTTACTTCTTTTTGGAAAAGATAATAAATATGTAAGATTATGATTAACTATAATATATAATTTGCCAAAGGAAATATTTGGTAATTTTAACTGATTTTTGACAAGTTTCTTGCACAGAAATAATAACTTTTATATTTTGATATCTTTATTTTAGATTTATTAGTATTTTTGTATAAATTAATTTTAAAAATTATTAAAACGCGAATTTAAAGAAAAATTATCTTTCTTAAAAGAAAGATATCTATATACAATTAAAAATTTAACGAAATAATTTATGTTAATAGCATAGAAGTCCTTACAAATATAAATGTTAAATTAATTTTTAAAAGCACTAGTGCTAATGTTATCTTATATTTAAAAACAGTAAAGTAAAACAATTTATTTAACTGGTAACTGGCAAAAGCCTTTAATTAGAAGGTTATTTGCGCTGCATCAATAAGCTTGTGCTCAACTAGCGCCCTCTCTCCAATGTTTAAGATTATGGTATAACGATGATATTATTAATTAGAAGGTTATTCTCCTCCATTATGAAAAAATTTAATATATATTAAATACAACGGTCATATTATAACTATTTACTACAGATAATATATAGTTATAATAATAAAGTTATTTTTTTTTCCTTGAAAATTGTTGGTTGATGTGATGAAAAGAAAAAAAATTATTATGTATTACTCATAATACATAATAATAATAATAATAATAATAATAGAAATAGATCTATTATTATAGATTGTTGCATTGAATACTCGTAACGATTGCACGGAAAATGCTCTCCTCCATTATATAGTGCTTACCATTTCAAAGTAAAAAAAAAAAAATTAAAAAAATGTTACCAGCTGTGCTACAATAGATTAGCAGCTAGGGAGTGACCGTGAAGGGGCCGAGGAGGTTAATTCGGATGCCAAATTTGGAGTGGCATTATATTGGTACACCAAGAAAAGTCTAAGTGATGATAGTCCTGCAAAAGAGTTGGTAAACAATGGCAAAACACAAGACAGAGAGGGTCATGGTGAGTAGAAAAAAAAATACTTATTTTTATGAAAGATGGCATTAGTTTTTATTTTTATTTTTATTTTTGTGAAAACGATGACATTAATTTCTAGGTATCTGAATCCGACGTACATACATTAGAATCGTAGCATAGAAAACCTTCTTGTCAGCAGAATATCCAAGAATGCATATTCAACTGATGATTTAGCTTGTTGAGGAAGTTGGAGATAACACAACCAAAAATATGAAGACTAGAATAAGTGGGCGGGTGACCAAACAATCGAGTGAAAGGAGAGTCATAGTTCAATGATGGAGAGGGCAAGCAATTTACAACCTGTGGATTAGCGCACATGTGAAACAAGATGGCACAGAAGATTCCAACATAAGGGTGTTCAGCTGAATTTTTTATTTTTTTTTCAACTAGAGCCTTTTGTTGAGGGCTTGAACTGTTGAAGGACACAACCTTTGAGAGACAGTGCCATTAGTTTGCAAGAATTTTGATTTTTAAAGAAAATTGGGTCTGAATATAAGCGTGAAAATTGAAAGCAAATATCACCAGTAGAACCAAAGTAAGGAAATAAGCATTATTTATCACAAGATTGGAAGCCATCACTTAGAGATGAGGAAATACCACCAGTAGCTGTGATAGGTACACACGGTTACCATCAAGAACATGAATCTTGAAATTTACCCATTTTTTTTTTTTGAAATATTTCAAACGATTAATCGCTTCGCGATTAGTTCGATTCAAAGCGGGTCTAGGATTAAGGTTTTAAATCCCTACCAATATCAAAGGTAGTATTGGAAAGAATCAAACACAAGTTCTCACCCTACATGCTGATCTCCCATGCGTCAATTGAGCTGCATCATTTGGTTACCTATTTTTTGTTGAAATTAGTAAGGAAATAAGCATTGTTTATCACATGGTAGGAAGCCCCAGAATCAAAGTACCAAGGAGAAGAAGTAGAAAAGGGTTTACTTGAGAGTCTTAAAGCAGAGAATGCTAAAATGATCATTTGTTCATGTTGGAGATGGAATAAACAAACAGAACAAGTATAGTAGTAGAAGCAGAACTTTTTACTATAACAAAATATTACAACACTAATCTCTTTTTTGTGTTTCTAACAAATCTCTCTTCTATTTTTCTCACAAGTATTTCAACACTTTATTTTTTCACACACTTTCGATCTTTCTATTCACTCATCTAATGCCTAACATACAACATATATATAGATGTACATGGAAGAGTTTAACTTGAACTTGACAACCTATTACAACCACTAGCTACCATCTTCGACCATTCTTGCAACTTTGCAGTCTTCAAATTGGTTTTAACAACTTATATTAGCCACATACTTAGCACAACTCATACATAAGGCTT